CGAGCAGTGGAGGTCGACCGGATCGATGCAGCCGTACTTGAACTAGATAAGAGTCGATACCTAACTTATACCAGAGTCACAGTGGAGATCGATCGGATCGATGCAGCCGTACGAATAGAGGTATAAGCCATGATGGTACTTATAGACAAGCAGTGGAGGTCGATCGGATCGATGCAGCTGTACTTGCTGAAGAACTCACCGAGATCTACTCTACTCCTACTCCTAAGGGGTGGCCGGAGCCAAAAAAAGTAAATAACTGGTATTTGATTGATTTTGTGTCTTTTACAATAGCCGGGGTTTGGTATTTATACCCGGAGCCTAAAAACGAATCCTACTCGAGTACGACTCGGTACAATCTTTGGTACGAAGAAAACATTCATATTTTAAGATAACTTGGACTCTAATCTTTCCCCTTTTGTAGAGTCCGATATGTATCTTCTCGATGCCAATCATATCTCGTCATCGTTATCTGCTGACGTCATTCGGAGAGAACCGATCCCAGTGTCTCATTCGACCCGGTAGATATCAATCCTTATTCAATCGACTCCTTGATTGGCACAATCTTGGAAGCCTGCGAATTCCCGCGCTCTTCTCCCAAATTTTGGTGTAAACACATTTTAATTTCCTCAGGCCCCTGACTCAAACCGGTGCTTCATTCACTGCTCAAAGGATGCCCTTTATTCACCTCCCGCCATCATGCAAGACAAATAAAAGGTGTATAGATAAGCACAAGGATGTGGAAGAGAAAAGCATAAAGAATAGGCAGATTGGATAGAATGTGAGATACAAGGCTTAGGCATCATCCAACCACAACATATTGGAACTTCTGACACGCGGGATGAACCCTAATAAAAAGTTACTCTAGGTGGTTTGCCGCCACCTAGATGGCTCAGTGGTGTGTGAGATCATTGACAAGCTATTGGTGATTGTTGCCGCCTCTGATCAAGATTGTTGTAAGAGGATATTGTGCTCATGCCCGTGGGAGATCGCGAAGAGGAACTCTAGTGGAATGCTCGTGGCTAGTTGAAGTGTACCTTGTGCTTAATTCTTGCGGCACCCAAGTCATGGGTCTAGCTTGAGTGGCTAGTTAGCATGTGAATCATCACTTTGGGATTCACCTCAACGTGGACGTAGGTTGCCGGCAAGCAACCGAACTACGTGTATAAATCTTATGTTCATCACTTGCCCTCGTTGGTTTGGTACTACTCTCACTTGCATTTATATTCATATCTATTGGTTGTGTGGTAGTTGCTTGATAGAGTATCTCTCTAGTTAGTTGTAGCTCTTGTAGCTAGTAGAGTATTAGTTTTTAGTTGCTCACTAGTTTAGCTAGTTAGAGTAACCTAGTCTAGCTAGTAGCTTTGTGTGGTGAAGTGATTTAGATTAGAAATCATTTTCTACTAGAATTGTATAGGAGCTTGCTTGGGTGAGATAGAGCTAGTGCAAAGTAATTGCCATTAGAGCCATATTTTGTACTAAATCAATTTTGCTCGTCTTGTGATTTTGTAGATAAATTTTTATAGGCTATTCACCCCTCCCTTTAGCCATCTAGATCATTTCACATGGTTGATCATATATGCTCATCCTTTTACCTCCACTAATCACCAACTCATAATTGTCATAATCCTTATCATCTCTTGCTTATACTTGACAAATACCTATTAACCATTATCTTGATACTGAAACTCAACTTATCTAACACACCAACTCATGGAAATAGTTAGTCCCACACATCTAGTTTCCATTAATCACCAAAGCACACATCTTGGGGCCTAGATGCTTTCAACTATAGGGTTTATGGATTTTGAATACCATAATTCATGGTCCAAGTGAATAGGGGCAACAACATCAAGCTATTTCACTAGAGTCAGAACACAAGGTTGATATATGGTTTTGAGTTGTATGTTGAATCTAAAATTCTAAGTTGCTTGGAGCATATGTATCATTGTTCTTTCTTTCTTATTTGTTCTTTTATAATAGTTGCATCTATATATGTAGCTATTTTTGAACCTTGATCACTGCTTCCACAACCTATTGTTAGTTTCATGGGTTTCATCCAACAAACTTTGGGTTTAAACGGCTTAGCATTCCATGTTGTTGTCATGGATATTTTCCATGATATCCATCAGCAATGCATTGCGTGCTGCTACCAACGTACAAATTAAGAATCTAGCCAAGATCAATGACTCACCCGTTGCAATCCAGCCAAACTAGTGACTCATCTATTACGTAACATCTTGCAAAGAGATCCAAAGTGGTGAGTCATTGCCTTTGACTTATCCATCATGATGCATCCAAAAGGAGGGTATGCTCCAGTTCAGCGTGGCTTTTGTGGAAAGAAGAATCTCACAATTGCTCAAAAGGATTGTCATCATCACGCAAGTAGTATTAGTCATCATTTGTGGTTCTTGGTCATGTGCTATTGGTTGATCGGGCGGAGCAGAGCATGTGGACTTCAAGGCATGTTAGGTGCTTTTAAATACACTATTCATCACCTTATTTTGTAGGAGGATGCTGGAGTTTATTATAGACTTTGAATATCTTACTTCGTGGTACTAGTGAATAAGGGCAACAACATCAAACTATTCTCTAGAGTTGGAACATTGGTTGATGGATGGTTTTGAGCCATGTTGACTCTGAAATTCTAAGCTTCTTAGAGCATATATATGTATGATTGTTCTTAATTTCTTTCTTATTTGTTCATTTATAATATTTGCATGTATGTACCTCTTTTTAAACTTTGATCATTGTTTCAACAATTTATGGTTGGTTTCATCCAACAAACTATGAGTTTAAATGCCTTAATTAGCATTCCATGTTGTGGTCATGGATTTTCCATGGTATCTATAATCAATGCATTACATGCCGCTGCCAATTTACCAAATTAAGAATCTAGCCAAGATCAGTGAATAACCCGTTGTGATCTAGCCAAACTTTTGACTCATGTATTACATAATATCTATCCAAGAGATCCAAAGTGGTGACTCATTGCTGTTGATTTGTGCATGCCTACACATTGCATCCAAAAGGATATGGGTATGCTCTAGTTTGACGTGGATTTTGTGGAAAGAAGAAACTCACAATTGCTCAAAAGAACTACAAATCATCATGCTAGTAGTATTAGTCATCATTTTTGGTTGGCGGTCATTTGTTATTGCTTCATCATTTTTTATCAGTTTGAGGAGAACATGTGGACTTTGGAGGGATGTTAGGTGCCTCAAATACACTATTCACCACCTTATTTTGTAGGAGGATGTCAGAGTATATTATAGACTTTGAATATCTTACTTCCTGGTACAAATGAATAGGGGCAAGCACATCAAGCTATTTCTCTGGAGCTGGAACATTGTTGATAGTTGGTATTGAGTTGTACATTGAGTTTGAATTCTATGTTTCTTAGAGCATACATATCAATATTCTTTATTTCTTCTTTGTAATGGCTACTTGTACCAATGTGTTATAGAGACCAGAACTTGGTTTTACTTAATAAAGCTTCATATATATATATATATATATATATAATCATACTCTAATGTACTAGTAATATTTTCTCTGATAAGAAGAATAATGAGATAATGTTGTGAACTGTAGGTGGTCATTGGATCGTTGAGGAGACAACCCAGAATGATCCATAAGGCTTTGTATACACAAGATATATAATATGTAACTTTAGTCTCTACAAGAACCCATGGTAAGTTTTAGAGCTCCATTCTAGGATCCCAAGAGTAATTGCTTCTAAACCGGCTCTACCACATCATCGATGAACTCCATGCATGTGACGACACGAGCGCACCAAAGAATCCAGCCAAGACCAATGATGAGGACTCATATGTCGCTAACGATGCACTCACGGTGCATCCACTAGCATATATATGCCACGCCATTGCCAGCACAGTGATGATATGTACTGCCCCCATGCTCCTTTTGCTACCACACGAAGAAAGGTCCATAAATAAATGCACATGTACATCCATATGCCACCCCAGCTAGTCACACATCATTCTTGGCCTCGGCTGGACGGTGTGAACTAGCCAGTCATTCAAGCACGAGACATCCCCCATTCCACCTTTGCCAACACAACACCAGTCGTCGGATACATAGGTGATGGTCCTGATCATCCTACACTTGTGCATCACGGTAGGTGCCTTAGAATATTTTATTTTCCTTCCTTTTATTCACTGCAGACCTGTGGGCCCCAATGGCTCCAACACGCCGTGTGTATCGTGCGACCCCTCCACCTACTAGTCCCCTGCCAAATGCATATATTGACGAGAGGTCGGCACCGCTGCGCAACCACTCTACCACTACTATTACTACAGTCGGGCAAGAGATCGATATCCTAAACTCCAAAGCTGCGAAGGAGGAAAGCAACAAGCGGTAGGACTTGCTTGTTCACTTTCTTCATTCCTCGTGTAGATTCCTCGAGATCTTCCCGATGTTCATCATCATATTGTGCTATTTTAACGATCTTCATGTTGTGTGATTCTCTTGTTGTTTTCAAGTGTTTGTTGCAAAGAACCATCTTCTCCGATTCCAAGTGCATATAGTTCTTTTTTCCTTGATCTCTCTCTCTCTCTCGTATATCGTTCCTCATCTGAGCCATTTCTCTTCGACCGCTTCTTTGAGTTTGGAACAGGTATAGATTTCTTGGATTTTTGCGTATGCGTATGCGTATGCGTATGCGTGCAAACTGTTTTGTCATTGCCCTTGCTTTGTTCGGGGTGCATAGGTCATGGGGACTTCTTTGGTTTTGCGTATGTGTGCAAACTGTTCTATCGATCAATTCTTTTCAACCTTAATGCTAGAACAATGTTTGTCATACTTATATCTCTTTCTCACACAAACTCTCTTTTCTATTTTTATTCTCTTCATCCTCTTTGTCTTCTAGATTAGATCTCTTAGAAGACATCAGAATCAAGGAAAATAGATATATAGTGTCTGCCATGTCGCTTCTCTATGACTTGGATTGGTCGTCAGTCACATAAGAGTAGAGTCCAACGATGGAGGTAGCTGCCAGTCGCACAGCCTATTTCATGAGCAAAAGGTCAAGGAGGCTTGGGAGGGTGTAAGTTGGTGTGACCGATCTATATTTTTTTTCTTCCTTTGGCAACCTCCTCATCTGCACCCTTCTTTAGGATCGGTGAGATGCAAATGGAGCCACAGGGCTCCTCTCTGCAACAAAACTCCACGATTGCTCCCGGTGATGTAGCGTCGTCCAAGAAGAAGAGGAATCGGCCAGGCAATCCAAGTAAGTCCCCTAATCCTAGCTACCACTTGAATGACATGATTGATAAAAGATTTTTTAGATAATGGAAAATTTCCGGCTCAACCTTCTTCTAAAATGAAGAAGCATCAGTCCAAACTTATTACAGTAGCACATCCATAATTAAAACTTATTACATGTTCAAAACTAAAGTCCAAGACGGTAAATGAAAGACCATCCATGCAATGCGAAGAACTCCATGGCTCTCGATTCTAGTAGCTTGTAAGCGTCAAGAATCTGTTCCTTGCCATCATCCGAGCGCTGCAATAGAGCCCAAAACTGTAACCACTATGTTCCCCTAAAAAGAACCTGTAAAAAAGTTTTTGGGTGACCTTTATCAAAAACCACATCGTTCCTTGTGATCCATATTGCTCAGCAAAACACCACAGCCCCAGTCAATAAAAGATGATTATGGTTGGAACCTCCTAGCTTAGACCAACTATTGAAAAGATGGTTCGTGTTCCTTGGAGGATTAATGCCAAACAAAACAAACACAGCACGCCAAAGAAAACTAGCATAATGGCAATCAAAAAACAAGTGTTGGATAATTTTAGGTGTGCTACAAAAACAACAAGCCTTACTACCATTCCAATTCCTTCTAGCAAGATTGTCTTTTGTTAGGATCACCCCGTTCTTTAAGAACCAAAGAAAAATCTTAATCTTCAGGGGCACTTTCATATGCCAAATTTTCTGGGTAACCTTAATCCCGTTATTGACTAGATATTTGTACATTGATGTAACAGAAAACAAGCCATTACTATTTAAGTTCCAGATGAAAGTATCCCGACCCTCATTTAAGTTAATAAAAGCAACTCTTGCAACTAGACTTTACCATTCCAACAGCTTGTTCCCAACTAGTGCCCTTCTAAAAGACACATTGAGAGGGGTGGAATTAAGTACATCAACCACCGTTGCTTGTTTCTTCCACACTATATTAAATAAATTTGGATATTGGATTTTCAAGGCTTGGGAGCCCAACCATTTATCTTCCCAAAATCTAATTTGAGTTCCATTGTCTAGTTTAAACTTCCCAAGACTTAAGAAAATGTCTTTGACTCCCAGCAAACCATTCCAAAATTGCGAAAATCCATTTTCCTTTTCAATTTGACTAAGAGTCTTGTTCTTTAGGTACTTGTTCCTTATTAACTCCTGCCAACTGCCCTCCTCGATGCAAAGTTTGAAAAGCCATTTGCTTAAAAGACACTTATTTTGTAAATCTAGATTTTGAATTCCTAAACCACCTAGCTCTTTTGGTTGGCACAAAATATTCCACTTTGCCAGTCTATATTTCCTTTTGTGCTCATCATTTTGCCAAAAAAACCTTGATTTAAAATATTCAGTCTTTTTTAGAACACCTCTCGGGACTTCAAAGAAAGACATCATGAACATAGGTAAGCTTGACAAAACAGAATTGATTAACACTAATCTACCCCCATATGATAAATGTTTTCCTTTCCACCCACTTAACTTCTTTTTAATTCTTTCTTCAATTAATTTCCAATCCTTATTATATAACTTCCTGTAATGCATAGGAAGGCCCAAATATCGAAAAGGGTATGATCCCATTTTGCAACCAAATAGATATGAGTATTGCTCCTCAAATTCTTTTGCTTGGCCAAAGCAAAATAATTCACTTTTATGGAAGTTGATTTTCAAACCTGATAATTGTTCAAAAGTACCAAGCAAAAGTTTCAAATTTTTTGCATGTTCAATATCATGGTCGAAAAATAGAACCGTGTCATCTGCATATTGCAAGATAAACAAGCCATTTTCCACTAGGTGTGTAACAACCCCTTTTATTTGGCCTTCCTCCTTGGCTCTAGATAAAATGATAGTAGCATATCTACAACAATATTGAAAAGGATCGGTGACAGAGGATCACCTTGTCTAAGACCTTTCTTGGTCTGGAAATATGAGCCAATTTGGTCATTAACTTTAATGCCCACATTCCCACCTTGAACAAAAACTTTGACCCAATCACACCACACCGGATGAAACCCCTTCATTCTTAGTGCTTGTTGTAAGAAATTCCAATTCACCTTATCATATGCCTTTTCAAAATCAATCTTAAAGATAATTCCATTTTGTTTCCTTTTATGTAACTCATGTAAGGTTTCATGTAAAATAACTGTGCCCTCCATTATATTTCTCCCAGGCAGGAATGCTATTTGTGATGGTTTAATTATGCGTTGAGCTATCTTTACAATTCGGTTAGTAGCCACTTTAGTAAAAATCTTGAAGCTAACATTTAACAAACAGATAGGTCTATATTGTTGTATTTGTTTAGCTTCTTTAGACTTTGGTATTAAAATGATCGTTCTGAAGTTTAGGCTATGTAGAGGCAATTCTCCCTTATGGAAATCTGTGAACAAAGCCATCATATCATCCTTAATTACATTCCAGAATACCTGATAAAACTCTGGAGGAAAGCCATCAGGACGGTTCATTTGGAAAATTGCACCTCTAATCTCCTCCTCCCTAAACTCAGCAACCAGGAGATCATTTTCCTCAGCTGTAACTTGAGGGATGTCATCACGGTATGCCTCATCCATCACCAAATTATTATGATCAGATGGCCCGAATAATTTTTTATAGTAAGTGGTGATATATTTTTTAAGCTCAGCGTCACCGTGAATTAAACCTTCCTCCAGCTCCAGCCTAAATATCCTGATGCATCGTGCGACCCGTCACCGTGAATTAAACCTTCATCCATCACCAAATTGATAAAAGATGTCTTGTTATATTCATTGAACAATCTGAAGATTTCTTTTATGGTCTGATCGATGGACCATTTGATACATATGTGCACAGGACCTGATGCGGAGGTGGTTGCGCTATCACCGCAGACGCTAATGGCAACGAACCGGTTCATGTGCGAGGTGTGCCACAAGGGTTTCCAGCGGGACCAAAACTTGCAGCTGCACCTACGCGGCCACAACATGCCATGGAAGCTGAAGCAAAAGAACCCCAAGGAGGCGCGTCGGCGGGTGTACCTGTGCCCAGAGCCAACATGTGTGCACCACAACCCATCTCGGGCACTGGGTGACCTCACGGGGATCAAGAAGCACTACTGCCGCAAGCACGGTGAGAAGAACTTGAAGTGCGACAAGTGCAACAAGCGCTATGCCGTGGAGTCCGACTGGAAGGCGCACTGCAAGACCTGCGGCACCCGCGAGTATCGCTGCGAATGCAACGCCCCCTTCTCCAGGTCCGTTCCTCCGATCTATTCCCAACCATCGATAGTGGCGAAGTTAGGACAAATAGAAGGGGTGGGTGCACAGACCTTTTTTTCATAGGGACGCATGTATGGTGAAATTTTAATTATGGCCATTGGTTTGATAATTTGGCATGGGTGTATTTTTTTTTTACGCAAAAACCGTGGGTTTGCCCCTGACCATTGGCCTAGTCAGCCAACTGTTTGCAGTGATTCCTCCTGCCTCACTTGTGCACGTACACACACGTCTCTGCCTGGATTCTAGCTTGTTTGCCGTTACTTACTCTATTTCTTTATGGCCTCTTTTCCATGATTGTGTCACGATGGATCCGTTGATGAGAGGTGATGTGATGCTTTAGAGTTTGGGTTGTCAATACTAAGGTCTCCTTTAGAACAACTCAACTTCACTAGTGAACCGATTTTTTTGGTTTTAGCTCTACGAGCAACTTTCTGGTAAAGCCAAAGCTGTTTCAGTGAGCCGTTTGGTAAATGACTCCGCATGTAGGTTTTCTTAAAACATGCTCTCACGGAATCCCACACAGGGCCGACAAGTGTGAGGTGAAGTTGTGAAAAGCTACTATTTCAGCTTCATCCCATCTCATTTCTATGTGAGACCATAATTTAAGGAGCTCCATCGGTGAAGTTGTTTGCAAAAGCCCGTTTAGTAAAAAAACAGCTTCAAACGGCTTATGAAGCTGGTGGTGAAGCTATGCCAAACAAACATTAAGTAATATGGTGTTTGGTTTGAGGAATGAGTATTGGAGAGTTCATGATTTTTTACTCACATTTTTGTTTGGTTTATAAAATGAAAGCACCTCATTCCTGGCATGCTAATGATTAGTACTGCTACGAGAAAAGAAGTCATATTCCACAAAATTTGATGAATAGACTCTTAATGCACCACCTCATTTATAATAGTGGAATTCCTCGTCGCAAACACCCTATATAAGATGGTGTGATGTGTGTAGCTTGCTCGTCTAGGATTCCTGCACGCGAGGGCTGCTGGAGATATATAGGGATATAGGTTTAATTAAGAGAAGGATTTACGCTCGTTCTACGTTATCAGGAAAAAAACTTGGGCTGATTTCTTGTTTCTTTTCTGTGAAATTCAAGCATGCAGTTGGTTTGCACGGCCTAGCTAGTACAGTTTGTACTCAGTAAAATGTTACGTTTGCAAGGGTCTGCGCTCATTATGTCTCCAACATTGCACCAGTAGTTATTACTCTATTCAGTACATTTAAGAACAGATAGCATTTGATTCACTAATTAATGTAGTAGCTTCCTGCCACTTGTAGATTTTCTGCTCCATAAATAAGTACTAGCTTCCTGCCACTCGTAGAATTTCCACTCAATAAATAAGTAGACTTCCTTCTAGAAAGAAAGGGAGGATAATGATCGGCTAGATGTTATTGGTTTAATATTGAGTAGCTTATTTTTTTTTCTCACTCAAGATTTTGTATGAAATCTTTAATTAATATAAAAATCGTATGCTAATAAATTGCTAGTTACTAATACTACTCGGGTCAAAAATATTTACCACAGTTGATTTGCACTCTTCAAAGCGTATCTTTGACACTTATTTTATAAGATATTCTTAAAATCCTTCAGATTCAAGAGATTTTGCAAGTCGCTTAAATACAAATGTGCATGATATATAAGGCTAAAACACGCCCACCCACCCTACTTCATGCAACCTATCAAAAAAAATTAACATATTAATTGAGCAATCCAACTAGAACGTGCCCAAGTCAACAATTCCCACTAGTAGCTTGCATGCAGAGAGAAACTTTCCATGATTTGAATAGAAAATAATTAATACAGAGTTCTCATCACCGTATATCAGATTTCAAATCTGTTTGAAGCATGTTGTCAGAAAAAAAAATGTGCTGCTCAAAATGAGATCCATATGGGCTATATATATATTTTTGAAATTTTATAAAACATGTATAGTTCCAACCAGTCCAAACACAATTGGAATCAGCAAAAACTAGAACTAGTCCAACCAGCAGCAGTTAATCAGACCTAACATAGTCGAAACCAGATCCTATTTCAACCAGACCCAGTTCAAACACGTCAGAACACAGTTTCAACCACTTAAAATCCAGTTAAATCTAAACCAGCAGCAATCCAGTTCCAACTACACCCATTTATAACCAGTTAGAACTTAGAACCAGACAAGGTTCAAACTAGTCAGAACTCAGTTGAAACCAAGTTGGTTGAGTTGGCGGGAATTAACTCTGGTAGGGGGTTGTTATTACTTATGTTACTTATTAGTTGGTTTTGGCTACGGAGGAGTTGGTGGGTTGGCTCAGTCATACGGCCTGAGTGCATTATTATATATACATGTGTAGCTTATGTGCTTCCAAACTAAATAACGTAATACGGAGTAGTAATAGGTATTGAAGTTCATAGTTTTTAAGGTTTGGCCATATCTTACCATAAACGATATGTTTTTTTGTCTTACGTACCATGTAATGTTTCCCACACTCTTTAGTGTGAAGCCATGAAGAACCACTTGTTATCTTAGCATCTTGCATATGGAATTCAGAGTCCTTTTTTGGCTTTTTGAATGATTTCCCATACAACTGTACACCTAATATATAATTCTCACTGCCAACTATATACATTATTAGCCATTAACATGGTCTCTATTTTTTTGTGAACCACGCAATGTTACCACTTTCGCCTACAGAAAAAACAGCAGGTATATTTTTGTAAGCCCAGACCAACAACAGCCTAAAACAACATCTACTAATTTTGATTTGAACGAGTCTACCTTGGCATTTGAGTTTATATTATTGATTGTTATGTTCTATTATTTATTCATAAACGACGTGCATAATATTTCCTAACGTCCTAATAATTTTTGTTATCATCACAACTGTTGGTAATTTCAAGCTGTACCTTATATGTATATACTCGTTGTGGTATCTCTAGATTTTGAGTTTTTTTTTTTTTTTGATACTTAGAATTTTTGTTTTTGACTCTTCCATCCACGTACACGCATGCAGGAAGGACAGCTTCGTCACCCACCGCGCTATGTGCGAGGCAGCACTGGCAGCAGATCGTGAGACCGCCCAGATGCCGCCGCCGGGCGCCGGCCTCTACGTCGACTCAGGCAGCGATAGCCAGGGCCTCGGGCTCTCCGGCGCCGCCGCCCACATGAATGGCTTCGCAGATCAAGGCCAGTCCTCTTCAGCAGCAGAAGCCTCGCTGTTTGACCACGTCATGGCATCGTACTCGGGCTCCTCCAGCATGTTCCGTTCTCAGGCGCCGTCAGACTTCTCGTTGTCTTTCTTCCTCGGCGGCGGCGCTCCTGCCAATACCAACCAATACTTCTCTGAGGACGGCGGTGATCACGCCGAAGGATGCCAGGGTCCTCTTCTCCACGGCAAGGAGCCCTTCCATGGCCATGACATGATGCAACTCCCGGAGCAGCAGCACCACCACCAGCCAGGCAGCAGCAACGCCAACATCAACCTCCCTGGCTTCTTCTCTGGCACCAGCGGTGGCTGGTCCGGCAGCAACCAGCAGGTCTCGCGCCTTGTCATCCAAGATCAATTCAACGGCGGCGCCGGCGGCGGCAACACCGAGCATAGTAACGTGATGGCGTCCATCGGAAGCCACTTCGTCGGCGGTGGCTTCCCTTCCCTGCAGTACAACTCATCTCCATCTCCATTGGCCGGGCTCTCGGCGACGGCGCTCCTGATGAAGGCGGCTCAGATGGGCTCGACGTCGAGCACCACCCGCACCGCCCCCAGCGCGCTGCTCCGTGCAGCCGGCTTCACCGGCACCGTTGTCAGCGGCCAGGGGACTAGCAGGGCAGCAGAAGAAGGGATGTCTCACGAGCAGTCTGCTCACGAGGCACACTTCCATGATCTCATCATGAACTCTCTACCGTCAACGGGAGGCTCCGGCACCAGCGGCTTCTCCGGCACTGCAGGATTGGCGGGCGTGGACGACGACAGTCGTCTGAGCACAAGAGACTTCCTCGGCGTCGGCAGGGACGACGCGATGGCGCCGGCGGCTAGCTTCCACATGGGCGCCGCCCTGGATCCGACCCAGATGAGATGGTACATGTGATGGATCAGGCCAGGAATGAACAACAATAATAAACTGAAGATCATGCACGTGAAAGCTAGCTTTCGCATGCATGGAACGGTAAGCTAGTGAGTGCCGATCAGAGAGATCGAGTAAAGTTAAACTAGTTTTAATTTGTTTTCGTGAGTTAATTTCCGTTTTCATATGCTGCCATGATTGATATGGTTAGCAGGGCTGCGTGCATTGCAGCTAAACTTGTTGATTTCCTTATTTCGGTACAATTTCGTGGTGTTTTTAAGTGTTTATTACTGTTTTGGCTGGAGATGGTGGTCTCCCATGATGTCGAGTTCATTATGTAGAGGCCGGACCAGACCAAAATTTAAGCACAATGTTTTGGACCTTTACTGCTTGTTGTCTCGTGCTCTTCTGGATATGCTCACTACAGGAAAACGGGGCTTTGCCGACAGCCCTGGGCTTTGCCGACAGGATGGAATATCCCTGTCGGCAAAGACCCTCTTTGCCGACAGCCACCAAAGGCAGTCGGCATAGCCGGCTTTGCCGACTGCCGATAGACTGCGGTCGGCAAAGAAGTCGCTTTGCCGACAGCCAGCCGGTCGGCAAAGAACCTCAGTCGGCAAATCGCGTCCTGGGGTAACGGTGACAGACGCCGTCGGCTTTGCCGACAGCCCAACCGTCGTCATTTGTCGAAGCGCGACCCTTTCTGCTGAAAATACCGAGGACATGCTGTCGGCAAAATTTTAATTTTTTTTTTGAATTTTGAATTAAGACTTTTTGTGTGACCTTACTATATTGTTTACAAGTCTATGTTGAAATTTGGAGGATTTTTGAAAGTTTTCGCTATATTTCGTGAATTTATTTCATTTTCATGAATTTTCCCGCGTAATTCAAATTTGAACTGCAGGTGCATGAAATAACGAAACTTAGTGATTCGAAAGATGATATTCATGTTAGAGAGCATATTTTGAGGCTGTGTGCATAAACTCACCGAAAAACTTGAAGTCCTTGCTCACAGAATAAGCACATCCATCCCAGCGGTAAAATGTTTTAAATTATATAAAATCCAAAGCGACGTCGAATCACAAAACTTGTGGATGTGTCGTGTTATCGCATTAGAAGGCTACGATAAAAATTTGAGAAAGTTTGGAGCAAGTTTGCTTCGCGGTGAGTGTTCAAACCCGAGATCTCCACATGTGATAAGAGGACACATCCATGTTGTTATGGGATTTGAACACTCACCACTCAAACTTGCTCCAAATTTTCTCAAATTTTTATCGTAGCCTCCACATATATAACACTAAATGTCCACAAGCATTGATCATATAATTTAAAAGCACTTGTACCAAAAAGAAAGATGTTCTTATTTTGTAAGGACTTCAATTTAAGTTTTATATATACATTGTCCAACATGAATATCATTTTTCGAATGCCCATGTTTCGTCTATGCACCTACAAAGAAAATTGAATTACGCCAAAAATTCATGAAAACAACCATGAAATAAATTCACGAAATATATAAAAAACTAAAAATTCTCCAACTTTTGAATTTGTGACGTATTTGTTGGAAGAACGTGCTCCCTATTAGATAGGAAAACAACCAAAAAAGAAAACATTGCCGCTCGCCTGCTCTCTTCCTCCTTCAGAACCACCTTCACGCCGCTACGCAGCAACCCGAATTTGCGCCATGCCGCCCTTCCTCGCTTGAGCCATTACTGCCATGCCTAAGCCCATGTGCCCGCCCCACTCAATGATGTTTGCCCTCACATCAGGCCGCACCGGCGCCTCCCACCAGCCCCCGTCTCATGGATTCACCCGCCCACCCCCCCTGACCCACCCTTTCCCTAGCCCTCCCGCCCCCTCGCCCGCCCCCCTCCGGCGCCCCCCACCCTCCCACCAACCTGCCCCCACCGCCCCCCCAGCCCTCCGGCCCGCCTCCCCCACCGCCCGGCCGGATCCCACAGCGGCCGGCCCGAGCCCACCGAGGCAGTGTCCCTGTCCTTGCCATGCTGTGCCCCACCCCACTGCACACCTGCCCGCTTTCCCCTCCCCTCGCCGCCCGCCCCTCTCCCCACTGCCCTGCCACGCTACCACGCCGCCCTCCACTCCACCACCCATTCCCACCCTACCCTCTTCTCCACCCTCGGCTCGCTCGGGTAGGTCTACACTGCTGCAGAACGCCGTCGGCTCTTCCGACCAGCCCGGCCGCTTGCGGTGCGCTCCGGCCATGCACCACTGGCTTGCCACCGCCACCACCTCCGGCCAGTCAAGAAGCACAAATGACCAAAGCAAATTGCCCGTAGTGGCAAGAAGAGCAGGACTTGGTTGGCGAGAGAGGCCAACGAGCCAGGCAAAGAATAGAGAGAGTCATTCAGCAGCCGCCGGCGGGTGCCATCTCTGACTAGCCGGGGTTGCCCAGATCATCCTCGGCGACCTCCGTGAAGCAGTAGTCAATCACCGCCCCAAGGTCTAAGTTCGAACCCATCGACGCCATTCTCTCGCGACAAGACCTCTCGCTTTCATTTCATATTTGTTGCTTATACTCTATCATATCGCCACTTGTTCATACTTGACCTATCTATCTATATCCGTGAAAGCTGTGCCGAGCACGGTAGGTCACCCACGCTAGAATGGTTAGGCTCCGAGTTTATAAGTTTGACCAAAGTCATGAATGAATAAATATGCTAGAAAAATATATTTCATGGTGTATATAGACATACTAATTTTATGTCATGAATATTACAAGTGGATCTTGGAGAGCGATCCATAGGGACAACTAAACATGCATGTGCCATGGTTCAATGAAAACACTACCATGTGATTTCAGGCTTGGGCCGACTCTCTATTGGAGCTTCATAACTAATCACCGCTTCTTAATTTACTAGCAATACTTCATTTTATTCACTGTCTAAATAAATGCTTTGATAGGTTGAGCAATCTTGTTCCGTCCAAAAGCCGGTGAAGCCTTTGCACCGCGTCGCCGCCACTGCAGCCAACTCGCCATTGTTTGACTCTTCGCCACCCTAGGTATACACATACTCTCTCTCGTATCATTGCCGTGATCGATCGTGTACCCCCAGTTAAGCGTCTCCCGTTCAAGCATGATATGGTTCGAGGTATGGATCATCGATATGCTGACGATATCTGTTTCGGATTGTCCACGTTTTTAGACAGCAGAATGCGTAGATAAGGTTAGGTTCCATGTTCATGATACACACTCCGAAAAGGACGTGTATCCGGAGAACAACGGGAGATGTTCCAAATTTTGACTTCGACGGGAGCAGAACATGGAACCTAACCTTATCTCCTCGGTGGGATTAGGACCTATCCTTCACCTATTAGATGGCGAGGCGCTTTGTAGATGCAAATGCTGGTTTTATTTCTCGCTTACATTGGCGCATGACAGAGGATGGCTGACCGTCGATTGGATGTACACGGCTTTGCAAGTAAGAGCGGTGATCAAGGTGAGGGTGTCAATGCTTTCCTAGAGCTTGCTTTTACGCATTTGCTAGAGGGTCATGTCGGATCACGGTGTCCGTGCACAAAGTGCAAGAACAAGAAAAAGAAACAAAAGAGCCGTGTGTGGAAAGATCTTTACAAGAACGGGTTCGTTCAAACTATACCCATTGGATCTACCATGGTGAACGCGATCGTATTAGGGAGGAGGTGGTGAGATCCCTCCTCGAGGAGTGTGATGCAGATGGCGGGATGGCGAACATGATGGTAGACTATCACGAAGGGACGGTTTGCCAAGGAGGAGGAAGTTGATCCGGAGGAAACCGCAAAGGCGTTTTACACCATCTTTGGAGTCGGCACGAGCCTCTCCACGAGAAGACAACGAAGGCTAATGGATGCCATTTCACGCCTAATAGCGTTGAAATCACAACCGGGCATTAGTCGAGACGGTTTCGATCTCGTGTTGATTTCACATCTGCCGAAGAACACGTCTTTCCACAGAGGCTCCTTCGTTACCTTCAAGATGCCGTCTGAGGGATCCAAGCTTGTCCAGAGAAGAAGTGCGTCTGCCTGTTTCGGGGAGACCACGAGAAAGCAACACACACCATCCAAAGTGCAAAGCCTCTAGGTATGTGGAGGTAGAAGGCAAAGATGGCAACAAAAATCAGGTACCGAGATGGTCATATCCTTTCATACCTAGGCTTGTACATCAGAGGAGACCGCGAAATGTATGATGGCACAAGAATGGCAAAAGATACACCGACAAGATGGTGCACCCCCGATGGTGATGCATGGAGACACTTCGATAACATGAATCTTCTAGAAGCTCGGAATGTCCTAGCAACAGATGGGTTCAACCTGTTTGGAATGATGGCGGCCCCTACACTTGTTGGCCCGTGTTCGTGATCCCCTCAATCTTCCCCGGCGTCATGTTTGAACCTAGAACTGCACGTGTTCTTGACGCCGATAATACCTCGACACAACAATATGGGTGTCCCGATGGAGCCATGTGGGATGAATTGAAACATGCTTGGGAAAAGGGGTGCTGTGACCGAGCTACAAAGAGAACTTCACTATGCATGTCATACCAAATTCAATGCATGACTTCTTGGCGTATGGCTTATTTAGCGCGTGGTGTGTTCACGGAAGTTCCCTTGCCCAACATGCAAGGCTGATGTTCACTGGTGGCATGAAGGGTGGGAAGTACTCTTCTTTCGACCAACATCGTCAATTCCTGCCAGAGAACCATGAATTGAGACGAGATGTTAAGCACTTCACGAAGGTGTTCAAGTCACCGACCCCATTCCTAAGGTTAGGGCAGTTCTAATGTCCTCGCGAGATAGAGGCTCTCGAAATAGATGAAACAGAAATCATATGGTATTGACCACATGTGGACTCATATATCGGGTTTGCATAGGCTATATTCAGGACCTTCTTCTTCCACACAATGCATCGATGTAATGCATACAAAAAGAATGTCGCAGAGGCACTCATACTCATGGAGATTGGTAAGAAGTCAAAGGACAACGTTAAGGCTAGATCGGACATTGAAACGATTTGTGATAGACCAA